ATTTTTAAATTTAGATCATAAAATAATAATTTTTAATGAATAAATCATATAATGAATTAAATCAGAATATGTACCAATTATTATTTTTTTTGCCTATAATGTCATTAATTAATTGTTATTCTTAATTTTATTAGTTAAAATTTATACATATTTATTAAAAATAATTATTATTTTTATCTATTAAAAGCAAAAATAACTTATTAAAATTTTATATAATTGTGATATATAAAATTTATGTATAAATAAATTATTTCTATAAAAATGAGATGAATTATAGCATCTCATTATGCAGCTAACTAATCCTTATCTTCTCTAACAATGGTGTTGTATAAACCAGACATAACATAACCTTTGGTTAAACCTCAACTAATTGTTTGGTTTCTGAAAATCATTTCTCAAGAGGTAAGACCAAAACTTGTTACATTAACAAAAGTAATCACTCTTTCAAAAATTAAATTATGTAATCAATGACCTGTTTGTTTGAATGAAAGAAACTCGATTCTTCTTAAGTAAGGTTTCAAGTTCGAGTCTTGTAAATAAAGAAACAGACGTCAAGAAAACTTCTCCCTAATAAGGTCCGACGCAGTTCAATTTTAAATTAATCGAAATCTAATGTGGTTACCAAATATCAAAATGTTAATATAAAAAAAATTAAATTGTGTAATTTTATTAAGTTTACAAAAAACAAAAGAGATGAATTTTTTTATGCACCAATATAAATTAGTACAAGTGCAGATTCGATAACTTAAGAATGATACACATAAATTAAAAGGGGAAAAAAAATCCCTCAGCCCTCAACATCTGCATCCTTAGTGAAGGCCTCATAGGCAACAAAGGAGACAGATTGAAATACAAAAGAAAAACATTTTTATAAAAAGAAGTGCAACCACTTTGGACATTTCGAATCAAAGAGAGAATAAGAGAAAATGATAAGACAATTGTTTTACTTCCACATAATTTAGTCAAGGTGTTCCTTTTGAAAGCCATAAAAAAAGCTTAAAAATGGTTAAAGTTGTTACTTGTAGTAATAAAAATTAAGTCATTATCATGTGCTTCCTTTTATAATTACAAGTTAAGAAGCCTACTAACCAAGGATTTGCTGATGGATTTACAAATTATCTTTGAAGTGTAAGATAAATCTATTGCACCAACAAACTTTTAAAAACTTATAACTCAAGTT